TAACGGACCTTTCCAAGTCTTCCGGCTGCCGGGAGAACTTGGCCAGCCCTCTGGAGGAAGGGCTGGAGTAAGGAGCGTCTTTTTTTGGGGGGCCCGCACTTGGCAAAGCGGGGGGGTGTCCAGAAACAGCCCAGATACAAGACCGTTGGAGGGGGAAGAACATGGCCGCCGCCATGTTCGGACCAGCCGCAGCCTTCCGGACTTTTTAAATAAAAGAAAGCTTCGACGAGGAAATTAACGCAACGACAAGATAGAAGAAACCTGAAGTGTGAGTAAAATCTTTGTTTGGAGGAGCGCTAAATCCCCAAAGAGAAAGTGTCCAAGCAGGAAAGTAGAAGTGGCTGGGAGAAATAAAGGACTCAAACTTTATATCGTTCTGTGAGGTGGGGAAAAGACAAGTGTTGGAGTGTGTGCTGTTTGACGGACTTGTATTGTTGGCAAAGACGGATTTAAAAAGGGAAAAGAGAGACCAGCAGAAAAGCAATAAATCACCAGCTTTGTGCCCTCTACTGGATCAGATGACCAACTTTAACGTCAAGCTTGATATGTTGCAAAAGGAACTCAAAACTTCAAGGAGAAAGAAATAAAGCGGATGTTCCTGAAGCAACAACATAAAGCGGCAGATGGACCTGAGACAGTAGAGGAGAACAAAGACGCAGAAGAAGAAGAAGAGAAGGATGGGGAAGATTCTAATACCATCTTTTTTTTTTTTTTTGAGCCCCCGGAGGGGCTTTTTTGTTGATTTTTTTAACACTACATAAAACTACAACAGAAAAGGGAAGGGGGAAAACTACATGTAAGGGAGAAAGTAAAGAACCCACTACTGACTAAAAACCCAAGAGAAGAGATCCTCCAACTAGCTTTTTTGCATCCAATCTTTTCATCTTTGTACTTCTTATGAACTGTGTCAAATTTTTAAAACTTTTAACCCTCCCCATTTACATTTAATTGCCCAATAACAGTGCCCCCCCTCATCCCCTGGAACCAAAGTTCTCAAAGGCACAATTCAGAGTTCTTCAGCCTTTACTTCTTCTTCTCTCTTTTCCACAGTTTGTAGGGACTTTTCGGGACTGCTACCCCCGTATCCAATTGAGTTTGTTTGGAGGAAGAGCACAAGTTCTTTATATTTTTTTCTACGTTGCCTTGCTTCAAATGGAATATCCTTTAGCGTTCTGACAGCATTCTCCCCCACCTTCAGGGGTGTCACAGCCACTGCTTTCAGGATAGCATCCCTGACATGCCTCTTCGAGAATCTTACTACAATTTCCCCAGGCAGATTGTTTTTCTTTATAAATCCTGAATATGACCTGTAGGCCACATCCATGTCGTTGAATAATAATTCCGCCTTTATATCTGTTACTGGGGCGAGTAGCTCACTCATAAGTTCTTTAAGATTCTCTCCTCTATTCTCTGGCACCCCTTGGAAGCGCAGGACCATGTTGGCCTTATTCATTTGCACTTGCAGCATCTGATCTTCCAAAGAAACAGTTTTCTTTTCCAATTTTTGGACCTTCTTCTTCACTTTCTGCGTTGCCTCAGCCATTTCCTTCATTTTCTCAGCATCCTGCTTCATTACTTGGATCAAGTCCGTTATTTGTGTTTGTTGAGCAGTGATACTTGTTGTTATCACTGCCAGCTGATTTTGTTGCGCAGTAATATTCATTGTTACTACGGACTTCTGCTCTTTAAAGGCATTTAGCTGTTCCAGTAGAGGGCACATGACCTCAGCCATCGCCTTCGTTGTCTCACTGGTCATTTCCGGCTACGGGGACTCTGGTTTCGTTTTTGAAAATTTCCCTTTGTCTTTGTCCCTCTTCCCCGCCATCTTTTTCGTTTGTTTACTTCACAAAAAAAAATTTAGTCTCTGAATATGCACTTGACTGTATAGCTCGAATGGGCAATCGCACGTTTATTCTTCCGCTCCCCCCCCCTTCGCACAACAATTTATGCACATAGGAGACGTCTCTCCGCGCTTGCTTCTGCCGGTCCGCCGCGTAGGGTAGGGAGCGACTTTTCTTTTAAAATACGTTTCTCGGTTGACTCACATTCATAATGGGTCTTCCGGCCCCGCTTCTTTCATCATTTTTCACGCCCGATCTCCTGCGCTTGATCCGGTTAGCTTCACTTGTACCTTTCGGTCTCTCGGCCGGACGTACCACTGGAGCAAGGGAGAGCCTCGATTCTCCGGCTTTCAGCCATCGAAGAGGCTACCCCCTCAAAGCTCCTTGGCCAGGGTCCCTTCGCCAGGCCCGTGGGGGGGTTAACGAGCCTGCTCACCCCCTCCCTCCGCCAGAGCACGGAGACACCCCCGGGAGGTCCAGGAGGTGAGTCCGTGAGCATGCCGCCATCAACCGGAAGTCCGATTCTAATACCATCTTGATTAGTCTGGCAGAACCCTTTGATCCTGAAGCAGAATTAGGGGCTCCCACCCCTAAAGCATTTAAAAACTGATTTGGACTTTGACAGGAAGAGAAGAAAATGCAAAATAGTTTAACTTCGATAGCCTGATGTTTATTCTTAATGCATAACTTTAAACCTATGATATTTACACTATAGCCAAAGAGATTGCTTGCTTGACAATTTTATATTATTAATCCTCATATTTTACTACTAAGATAATAGGGATGTATCAACAATCTTTTATGTCTGTACCATGGATCCTTGTTACTCTTTATTTTAGGTTGTTTCCTTCCCCTGACCCTGTAGGTTTGTCGTTTAGAAAATAAAAAATTTGAAAAAGGTAGAATGATAAAGGATTGGAACACTTTCCCTATGAAGAAAGGTTAAAACACTTGGGGCTCTTTAGCTTGGAGAAACAACAGCTGAGGGGTGACATGATCAAGGTTTATAAGATTATGCATGGGACAGAGCAGGTTGAGAAATACTTTTCTTCCTTTCTCACAATACAAGAACTTGTGGGCATTCCATGAAATTGCTGAGCAGTCGGGTTAGAACAGATAAAAGGAAGTCCTTCTTCACCCAAAGAGTGATGAACACATGGAATTCACTGCCACAGGAGGTGGTGACGGCTACAAGCATGGACGGCTTCAAGAAGGAATTAGATAAGCATATGGAGCAGAGGTCCATCAGTTGCTATTAGCCACAAGGTATAGATAGGAACTCTCGGTCTGGGGCAAGTGATGCTCTGTATTTTTGGTACTTGGGGGGGGGGGCGCAACAGTGGGAGGCCTTCTAGTGTCCTGGCCCCACTGCTGGACCTCCTGATGGCCCCTGGTATTTTTGGCCACCACTGTGGGTACGTTCAGACGGGGCATTTGAGCCGGTATACGAGCCGGTTAGAATTGGAGTACTTACACGCGATCACACAGCCAACATCTGCCTTCCGTCCCTAACTATTGCAAACACCCTTAAAACCGGTGTATTCTGCTACTAGGTCCCCAAGTGGTGGTATCCTGAGTGCTCCGGTTCTAGCCGCATTATCCCCGTCTGATCTCTCTCTGCCGGTGTAGAGCCACTTCCATTCGGAAGCCCGAGGCTTCCACTTTTCGGCCATCTTTTTTTTAGCCTCCTTGATGTGCGCTTGGGCAAAGCTTCGCCCAGGCGTTTGTAAAAAAAAAAGAGAGACGCTTAGTTTTAGGCTGCGGACGAGTCTGGAACCTCACGGAGGCCCTTTTCGCTGTAAAAGTTTAAAGGGAAGTCTTCACTTCAGGGCATGTTTTTTGGGACGGGGTGTTTTGCGCCTGCGCGAAGAACTCAACTCTGTGAATAGCTGCCTATGCGCATGTGCAAAATGTAAAAAACAAAACAAAACCGCCGACACACACTACTGCGTGTTGGTAGTGTGAATGGGCATATCGCGATGTGCTGCGCAGTCAGGTGGTGAGTGTGATCGCGTTTCTTCCAGATCAAACTGCTCCAGTTCCAACCGGAGCAATTTATGCCGGCTTAAATGGCCCGTCTGAACGCACCCTGTGTGACACAGAGTGTTGGACTAGATGGGCCATTGGCCTGACCCAACATTGGCTTCTCTTATGTTCTTATGTTGAGAGCTAGATTCGAGTTCAGGACCACCTTAGAGACCAACAAGATTGGGGGGGGGGGGAGATGAGCTTTTGAAGCAAAAAGTACCTGGCAACAGGCGTGTGGAATTTCAAAAGCTTATACCGACAATCTTGTGGGTCGCAAAGATGCTACGGGGATGCCAAGCCAGCTGTTCTGCTCTCCTGTGAGCTACATCTGGTGTCAACGTCCTGCCTCAGTTGCATTCTGCAGTAACTGAAGCGTCCCGAATGTCTTCCCGAAGGACAGCCTCAAGTAACGTAGACAGAGAGAGAGCTCTGGTGCTGCCAAGGCCATGAAGAGAACAGTCCCAAAAGTCTCCACCTCACAAACCAGTCTGGGCTGGCAGGAGCTACTGTCCTTCTGCGTCCAAGTGCTCCTCCTCCTCCTCCTCGCTCCTGGAGGAATCAGACTCCACCTCAGGGCTGCTGCTGCTGCTGCTGACAGCAGAGAGGTTCAGGCGGGGCAGCCGGTGTTGGCCTGAAGCAGCAGAACAAAGTCTGAGTTGAGTGGCACCCTGTAAGTCCAACAAAGTTCTGTTCAGGGTATAAGCTTCCATGTGCAAGCCCACTTCTTTGGATATCCAAGGAGGTGTGCCTTGCACACGAAAGCTCATACTCTGAATAAAACTTTGTTGGTCTTAATGGTGCCTGACTGGACTCAGACTTTGTTCTGCTGACAGCAGAGTGGGCCAAGCCTCAGTTGCAGCAGCAGAAAAAAGCCTCCACGGGAAAGTTCACAGAATGTTTGTGGAAAGAAAATGAAAACCCAAGCGCACGCACACAACCCGACTGCCCGCTTGGTGCTCCCAATGTGCTTCCTGACTTGACCACCAAGCAGCTTTCCGCTCTTGAGGAGCACCTGCATCCCCTGCCCCTCCCCCCCACACTCCCCAGCCCCCAAGGGGAACAGCTGTCACCACCAGGCCCTGCTTGGCAGCCAGGCAGGCAGGCCTCGTGGTCCTTCATGGCGGCACTCACCGTGCAACGATGGCCCTCTCCATGGCCTCTTGGCTGTAGGGACATTTGCCACCCACCACCACGGCTGACAGGTAGATGGGCTGCTGGAGGAAATGCATCAGGAGGGCGCCCTGCCAGCCGAGCACATTCCAGCGAGCCAGCTTGTCACTGCAAGACATGGAGGCAGTCCTAGGCCCACGGCCCGGCTTGATCCGCAGGAGCCCCACAGTGTGGTACTCGCTGCCAGGCTGCTGGGAGTCGCCCGCGTCCCCCGGGACACACTTTGCCCCCGTCCTATGGACATCCATCATCACTTGGGTGGGGCCGCGGGCAGCTGCAGGATCCTCGGCAGCCCCCAGAGCGGGTGGGCGGGCAGCCCCCTGTGCCGAATCCCCGGCAGCCACTTTTGCTCTCTTGGGGGAGGGGCCGGCCGCAATCTCTTCTGCTTCGCTTCCACTCCACTGCCCTCCAGAGCTCGGGCTGCCAGCCCTGGGAGCCAGCCCTGGGCTCAGGGGCCAGCACGGCTGGGCCTCCTCTTCCGCCATCGGGATGATGGAAGCGTCCCCACCTGGAAGGAATGACACAGCGGCTCAGAGGAAGACTCCCCCAGGGAGAGGAAGCATTGCCAAGGTCGCGGGGGAAAGGGGGAGCAGGGCCAGCAGCACCATTCCCGCCCCCACCTGCCCCCCTTGTAGGAAGAGGTTCAGGAATGCGGGCAGGCTCTTGGGAATGTGTCCACACCGCAGCGTCAGAAGCATCCCTCAAGCACACCCGCTGCTTTCACCAGTGGCGCCGGGGAGGGACACTGGAGGCATCTGAGATGTGGAAAGTCCCGGGCAGACGGGCTGCAGCGATCCCAAAGGTGCAGCAGCCCCTTCCATGAAAGCAAAATGCAACACCCAGACTAGGGCCGGCCCTGGGCGTAGAAGGCGCTCCTCTCCTCCACACGCGCCACGGGAGGCGGTGTGTGTGTTAAGAAGGCCGAGAGGCCTCCAGTCCACACCAGAGGCCCACCCAGCCCCTTCTTCACAGAGCTCGCCCAGGCTGACCCGTTCTGCTCCTCACTTCACTCCCCTTCCCCCAATCCGGTCACTCGGGCTGAGAGAAGTGGGTCAGGGCCCACAGAATTAACCCTGCCCCCGCTGAAGATGGCAACCTCTGCCCGTTCCAGATGCATGCACAGCCCTGTGGGGGGCAAGAGAAGGCAAGGAAGTCGCTCTCTTCACCCAGCAGGCCCAAAGACCAACTCAACATACTTAAATGAATATAAAATAAAACTTACAAGGTGTGTGGCTAGAGAAAAAAACAAAGGTGATGTGTGGCCTGAGAATCCACGTCCCTTGCTCAGTCCCTGGGCTAAAGATGCTTGTCTCTTGTTGCACGGCTGCCAGCCACAGCTGGTGGAGGAGGTACCTAGAGTGGGAAAGGGAATCACTTCCTCAGGAGACGGAGAACCCTAACCCCCCTCCCAGCCCTGGGGCCCTGAGCCCAACTCCGTGTTCCTGGGGGTGCTCCCCACGAAGGTGCCGGGGAGCATCACCGTCCTCCCCTCCGAAGAACAACGAGGCCCTCTGCAGAGAGAGAAGGGGGGAGGGGGGGGGAAACAGCTTCCGGGAGTGAGAGGAGACTAGGAGTTATAAAACATTTGTGTACACTTGGCAAAGATGGGGAAATGCCATCCTGGCTGTACTTGTGGTCTGTGCCTCTAAAGTAAGAGTGCTACCAGGGGTCACACCCAAACTCTTGACAGAGGAAGCTGGGACCAGCTGTACCCCTTCAGAGTGGGGATCAGCTCCAGACAACTGTTTTAACCATCCCACTATGGCTCCCAGACAACCTGCCAGAGCTTCTGGGGTGATGTCTGGCTGGCCGTTTATTAATAGATACAGCTGCGTGCCATCAATGTATTGATGGCACCCTAGCCCTGGGGTGGCCAAACTGCGGCTTGCAAGCAGCATGTGGCTCTTGAACACATATTGTGTGGCTCCCAGCAGGGCGGCTCTGGAAGCAAAGACGAGGCATGCCACCCCAATTGGTCTTCCCTTCCCCAGCCAGTATTCCCTTCCCTGGGTAGGCTTGAGGTGGGGAGGAGCAGAGAACAAAAGCAGCTTTAACTTCAAATGCGTTCCCAAAGCTCCCCTCCCCCACCTTAGAGAAGGCATTTGTCTCTTTAAATCCCTTCTCTAAGCCAAGCCAGCCAGTGTGGGGAGGGGGGGGGCTTGGGGGATGCATCTGAAGTTAAAGTTGCTTTCTTTCCACTTCTCCCTCCCTCCCCCCATCTATTTGTTTTCTTTCAACTTTCTTTCTCTCCTCCCTCCCCATCTAAAGTTAAATGTGTTGTCCAAGCCCAAGCCCAAGCCCCACCCCACCACCAATGTACTGGCAGGCTTGGCATGGGGAAGGCATTTGTCTCTTTAAATCCCTTCTCCAAGCCAAGCCAGCGTGGCAGCTGGGGGCTTGGAGAACACATTTAAAGTTGCTTTCTTCCCACCTCTCCCTTCCTCTCTCCCTCCCTCCTCCCCATCTATTTGCTTTCTTTCCACCCCTTCCTCTGTTTCTCCTTTCCTCCCTTTCTCTTTCTTCCTCCCTCATTTATTTGCTTTATTTCTCTCTCTTTTCCTACCCCTTTTGTTTTTATTTTTGGCAGTCTCACTTAATGTTAATAAAAAGCATATTTGCATTAAAAAAAAAAAACACCCGTATTTGTTCATTATTTGCAGCTCTCAGACATCTGACATTTATTCTATGTGGCTCTTGTGTTAAGCAAGTTTGGCCACCCCTGCCGTAGCCCAAACCTCCTGACTTAACTGGGCGAGAGGGCACATATATAGATGTTAAAAAGCACTGAGGAGAGGATCACCCTTTGGGGGACACCGCACACAAATGGGTGTTGCAAAGAAACCCTCTCCTCAAGTGCTACCCTCTGTCCCCGCCCTTGGAGAAATGAGCACAATCAACGTAAGGCAATCCCACGTATTCCAGTGGCGGCAAAGCGGTGGGTCAACAGGTCATGGTCAACCATGTGAAATGCGGCTGAAAGGTCTAGTAACAATGACAGCACTGACCCGCCCTGATCCAGCTGTCTACGGAGGTCATCTTTAAGGGCGACTAAAACCATCTCTGTCCCATGACCAGGTTGGAAGCTGGACTACAACAGATCCAGAGGATTCAAAGCACACAGAAATACATAAAAGCCACTACTTTAAAATCAGTAATTTAAAACTGCTGGTAAGCAGAAGAACTGAAATGAATCAAATGCCATCATAAATAAAATGGTCTTTGGCGGCCTCCTAAAGACTGAGACTGAGGGAGGCCAGGTGCCCTTCCCAGCGGGTGCTGCCACTGAAAGGGCCCTCTCTCATCTCTCCACCAGACAAGCTTCTCAGGTCGATGGGACAGTCAAAAGGGCCTCTCCCTATGATCTTAATCCCTGGATAGAAATGTACGGGAGACGACAGTCCTTCAGATACCCTGGTCCCAAGCAGTATTCCCTCTAAGCTGAGTTAGTGTGAGCTCGCTCACAATTTTTGAGCCTCCAGTTCACACATTTTTGTCTTCGCTCAGGAAGGATGCCCCCTGAGCAAACTAATTCATGCAGCAGCCAAATCGCTCGCTCACAACTTTAATGCCAGTAGCTCACAAAGTAGAATTTCTGCTCACAAGACTCCACGGCTTGGAGGGAGCATTGGTCCCAAGCCATGCAAGGCTTTAAAGATTAAAAGCAACACACTGAACCAGGTCTGGAAGCACACGGAGAGCCAGTTTAAATTAAGTACTGAGGCCACGTGAGCCCCACCCAGCAGTCTGGCTGCAGCAGCATTCTGCACTACCCACGGCCTCCAAACACTCCTGAGGAACGGTCCCAAGTTAGGTTCATTGCAACAGCCCAGTCTAAATGTGACTAAGGCATGCGCATCACTGTGACTAGCCAAGAACAGGTACATTTGGAGCACCAGCCAAATCTGGGTAAAAACACAGCCCTGAACCACAGCAAGTGTACAGTTTTCTAAGGTGACTGCTATGTCAATTAGCACTCCCAAGCTGCAAACCTGGCTTTTCAGGGGGAATATAACCCCATCTCAGGCAGGAGAGATCTCAAGTCCCCAGCCTGCCTTTCTACTAGCTCAGAGCAACTCGGTCTTGTCAGGATCAGTTCTCTCCTTGATTATTATTTTTTTTGGGGTGGTGGTGGAATGATGTACTCAGTAGTACGCTTTATATATGTGTATAAAATGTACCCCAGAAGTTTCATTAATCCAAATCATTCAAATCCATAGTAAAGTATCCAAACTTCAAATGTATATTTTCTAGTTAATCATTTCAACTTATGGTGGTCACAGTATATCCTGGATTTTACGTAAACTGAAGTAATTACATATTAAAGCTTGAGAGCTGCTCTTTCATATGGCCTCTATCCTAATTATTTCTAGAATCACTTGGTTGTCTGTGGAAGCGAACAAAAAGCAAGAAGAGGGCACTAGAAAGAGAACCGGAGAGGTTTCCTGGGAGGTGTGTGCAATGCCCGGAGGGAGTCTTCTTCCTTGGCAGCAGAGTGAACTTCCTCAACACTCTGAGTTGAAGAGGATGGATGTTACGCTTTTGTCTAAACGGCACCATCTGTTGTTCCTCGCCACGTTGTCTTAGCAAAGACTCAGGCAGCTGGCTCTAAAGAGGCCCGGGGCTCCGAAGCGGAGAAGTCACCCACAGACGCCCCTCAGCAGAAAGGAACTAAGCATAACTAAGGCAGACGCCACCCTGGGACTAGCCAAGAACAGGTACGTCTGGAGCACCGGCCGGTGTTTTGCCTGTTGCATTTTTACAGCTCTTTAGTGACCAACATGTCCCAGGAAGCAGCACCACTCCCTCCCTCCCTCCCTCCCTCCCTCCCAGCAAGCTCCAGCAGCAGGGACTCAGAAGACAGGAGCCCCAAAGGAACTCTCCAGGCCCAGCACAGCCAGGGGGCACCAGCGATCTCGGCACCGGAGATCTGTCTGTCAAGCCTTGCCAAACACCGTCCCTCACTCACCTCTGGAAGCTCCTCTTGGCCACCACTTCGGCGTGACTGTCGTTGAGAACATCCCCTGCAAGACCAGCACCGGAGTCAGCACGACCTGACCACCACCACCACCACCACCACCACCACCCCCCTGCGGAGGAGGGCGCTCAGCCCAGTGGCTGGCAGAAGGGGCTGGGGGGCGCTGGGGGGCACTGGGCTCACCCGTCTTCCTCATGTTTGATTGCCCGATGCATTTCGTCCCCGTTCCCATGGCGACCACTTCCTTGGCGGCTGGGAAAGGGAAGAGGCCACAAACACGTCACCCCATCATATAGGCAGGGGCACTGGGCTCACCCGTCTTCCTCATGTTTGATTGCCCGATGCATTTCGTCCCCGTTCCCATGGCGACCACTTCCTTGGCGGCTGGGAAAGGGAAGAGGCCACAAACACGTCACCCCATCATATAG